AAAATGTTTCTGTTGGAAATACCCTAGAACATGGCTAGGATTCTTTTGCCACAAATCACTTCTGTCCCTGGTTATAGTAATAGTGAGAGATTTCTGTGGAGCAAGCATTTCTTGACTGGTGCACAGGTGTGAGGAAGGTGGCTGCTGTATAGAAACCCTCATAGGAATGTTTGTGTATGTGCAACGTCATTTGGGAAGAATTAAACGTGAGCAGGGAACATTAAAAAAAAGTGACAAGAAGGATTTAAGGTTTTAAAAGAAATTCTGAAGGAGCTCAAGCTTAAGATGCAGACTGATTGATAGTTTGCTAAAATTGTCTATAAAGGAAAGGCAGGCTCCTGATGATAGCTAACTTTTGATACAGCAGAAAGAGAGTACAACAAGATCCAGCGGCTATGTGGTACAGCAAGACATTTAAACCAGAACAGAGGTGCCACCACTTAGAGTAAGGATAAATAGCCATCAGGCCAGTGTGCAAATTCTCTGCCAGTAATTTGGGACTAGAGGACATTCTAGATGAGCCTCAATGGCTTGAAAAATGAGGGCTTGATTAAAGAGTTCTCATGTGAGTCTTTGTTGCTCCTGCTGTCTGGGTCAGGCCAGATGACCTACTGCTTTTTGATAATTTATTTAGCTCTTTCTATAGTGTTTACAAGTAGGAACTGACTGCAGCCAGGCTTTGGTGCCTGCCACACACCTTGTGAGCGCAGGCAGTAGTTCGGCTGTGTGCCTTCCCCCTCAGCAGTGTCCTTCCAAAACAAAAAATGTTTTTTTCTCTCTCCTCTGAAATATTGTTTTGAATGCAGAAGGAATGTTTTTCTTCTTCCCTTCTCCTCTCCACCCTGCATTATTAAAGAAGCCAGGAAACATTTGGTTTTGCCTGAGCTGCCATTGGATAGGAATCCTTTATCAAACTCTTTGTCTGAACAGCATTTACAGAACAGCCTGAATGTTTTTGTTGTTCTTGTGTTCAGCGCAGTGCTTGTCCAAGACCCTATCAAGCCTCTTACAGCAAACTCCGGCTTTCTACAACCATAGGGACTGGTTTCAGCCATCACAGAATTACTGTTTTGTCCCTGCTTTCTCCTTCATACGTGTTCATACAACTCTTCTCCCATTTCCAGTTTATTTTTCGGAAACAACCCCTTTATGCTTCTTTGTCACATGACTGTAAAGGGATGGTCCAGCTAGCTTGTTGAGAAGTTTGGGACTGCTATGCGATCTGATTCTGGCATTGACAGTGAGACATTGAAGAAATCCCAACAATGGCAGCTTCTTCTGTCAAGAATTAAGAGGCAGAGGAGCCTGCCAGTGACTACAGTTTTAATGTTTTCATATTCTAATGAACGTGATGAGGAAAGGGGTTCATTCAGTTGCTAGCATGTTAGCTGCTGTTTGATTTCACATGTTGTAATGAGGGGAATAGAGGAGCAGCTGGCACACTCTTAGTTAATTTGGGCAATGGTGACAGAGCAGTTTTTGCTGGATGTGTCCCTCATGCTTTTCATCCTTCAGTTGAGGCATAATTGAGAGGATGTCTCCCTTACTCCTAAAAAGTAGAAATTGTGTCTTCCTGCATAACCACAGATTCAGATGCTACAGGGCTTTAAACTACACTTTGATTTTGAAAGTGTAGCTGTTAATGGGGAATCAGTTGAAAGACCGCAATGCTTTGCAGGTTTTATTTCTTTGATTCCATGTTATAACTTAAAATGTTCAGCTGTTTGACAGCTGTATGTTAATTGGAGTTGTTGAGCTATATCTGTGGCGTGCCTTTTCACCAGTAGCAATAGTTCTATAGCTGAAACTTGCTTAGCAATCAAATTTATTTTGTCTGCAGAACTGATAATGCTTTTCCCTGACATGGTGCTTAGCTTTGTAAGGCCCATGAGAGCAAAAAAAGAAGAGTCAAACTCACTTCTTAAAAAAAAAATGCATTTTGGAAAACCCTAAATAAGAAACTGAATAACTTAGGATTAGATTTATGCAGTACATTAGTGTCACCTTTACCTGATCACTCTCCTGACTATAGTAGTATTTAATAGTTTTGTTACTCTGGGAGTAGGATAAGAAAGAGGTTGAATCTCAGGCAGAAGATTTAGGGATTTAGAATAAAAACCCTAAACCTGAGCTCACTGGAATAGTAAAAAAACTTGTGAATTTTCAAGATTCCTTACTACAGGAGCTATGGAAGATGTTAGTCTCTGAGGAATAGCTGACACTGTAAATGCTCTGTGTGTAGTTTTAGAAATGGTACTGGATCAGCTAGTATCTTCTAACTTTTTCCAAGCCGTAGCGGAGCTATGGAATTGATTAAAAAATACACCAGTCTTTTTTCCAGCCTTAGAGCTGCAAACTCGCTAGACTGTAAGCATCTCCCAACATGAAGACATTCAGGAAAGTCAACTGCAATGATTTTTGAGGTTTCTGAAGTGTCTTTTCTTTGTGGGTGGTTGCCTAGTCTTTTGGAATAAAAGGGTAAGGGCTGAGTCCCCATCAGCTGCTGTTATCCACAGTAGGAAAGTGCTTTGGTAGAACATTTGATTGATGTGAAAGTGCTGTCAATCTGAGATTTATTGCTTGTTTTTTATGATGGGGTGGGGAGGGAAGAAGGAGCCAAGGGATACCTGCCTGTGGAAGACCAGACTTCATTAGTTTCGTTGCTCACAAAATTACTTCGCTTTTATGAGCGTAATGTGCTTGGCTTACATAATTGAATGGCATGTAATTGGCAGCTCTCCCTTGGGATGAGCTGCATAACTTGCTCTTGGCTAATGCATCTATCCTAAATTTATGTTGATACATTTCTTGGAGCCCTTTGTCATGAAATTTGTACTTCGGTGTTTTCTGAAGGTTTGGCTAACGGTCCATCAGCAGTTGGGAACACCAGGTGTTCCAAAAGTAGGTGATGCATGTACGTTTGTACATACTACTGCATAAAAAGAGTAGAAATATATAACCAAAAAAGTGTACTTTGCATTTTTTTTGTGTAAAACATTTCTGTCCAAATGCTGGGGTATAGATGGCTTTTTCTGAAAAAGCGGTACAAAATACGGATGAACACTTTTCTTCTATAATGTAACATGGAATGGTCTTGCCCTATGAATTCAAGTTCCTGTCCTGGAATCTGGTTTAACCTGTGGATAAGATTGCTACAGTTGATGCTTTGGACATGAAAACAACTTCTTGTGCTGTCGAGTATGGAACAATGTGAACGCGATCAGCAATAATAAACACTAAACACAGAAACTCAAACAGTTCTATCATACTTGTTTTGAATGTGCCATTGATTTGACTGAGCAATAAGAAATGTCTTAGAACTTGATTAATTGCTAATTATATTCATGGTGCTTTTGAGTAATTTGCAATCAATGTTGTGGCATATTGAGAGAATAAAAGTGAAAGTGTTCGGATAGCAATGACAGTGACTTTAGAAACATGAGTACCTGAGATTATTGTTGGTTTTGGCCACTAAATGTGAACTTGGCTTGAGGCAAAATGATTGCTTTGCAGGTTAGTAAAACCCAAGATAAACACATGGTGCCGTATTATAATCGCTCTTAGATCATGTTTTATGTGATACTCAAAGCCTTTAAAAAGACCATCGTAAAATCTCTGAACAAACTGCTACCTTAGGGAATTGGAGCCAGCTGTCAGCAAGGGGGAATAAGTGGTCTAGCTCTGAAGGATCCCTAATGAAGGGAATAGGACAAACAGCCCATCACTATTCTGTGTGGAAAAGACTAGAATGGGAAGTCAGCTTCAGTGAATTTGCTTGGAAAAAAATAGAGAATGGGCAGAATCCAATTTGAAAGTAAAATAAAAATGTAGTTTCTGAAATGATCTTACTTTTTGGAGAACTGAGTTGATGGAGCCAGCTCTAGTTTTTAGTAATGTAGGCATTTCTATACTCTTTCAAGATCCTGAAAGTCCTCGTGTGCAGGCTCAGTCATAGCTGGAAGTGTGTTTGCTGGAAAGTGTTTCTGAAACTGTTAGTATTTATACAGATCCCTGTACGATGATTGTTAACTTTTGTCTCAAGGGAAGTTAAAGGCATCCTGCATTTCATCCAAATGCTGATCACTTTGCAAAAGCTGAGGCAAAGGATATAGTTAGAGGATTTATTAAAGTGGATGGAACTATGGTGCCACTGAAATAGTGTCTACATGGACAGGACTAAGAAGAGCCTACTAGATCAGGATTCATCTCTTCTTGCTTTAGAGATCCATATCTGAACTACTTATTCTGGTTTTCCTTCATGGTGATGGAAAGAACTTGGCAATTGTAGACATCTCGTTCAGAGGCAAAGCTTTAAAGTTAAGCAAGATGAATCTTATGCTGTGTGTTTTTGGCTCCTTATGGCCTTCATCAAATGTTCTTAAGTCCTTGTCAGTATGTGTAAGAGCAAGCATGTTGGATCTTGCTCCTGCTGCCTGAGTTAACATGGGGCTGGGACAACTCAAATCTATCTGGAGAAGGTATGTTATCAAAATAAGGCAACGTTCCATTTTTTCTGCCATGTTCACTGAATAAAATGTTCTCGAAATGCCCACAGAACGCTGTTCTCAAACACTGGCTGTGGTTTCAGGGGCTGGGGTGGCCTTTCCTCAGCCCAGCTGGGATGCATTGGGAATCCGAGGAGAAATTATTTAATGGTGAATAGTACATAGGATCTAGAAGACGGTGGAAAAAGATGAAACGCAGCTGCTGCATAGTAAAAGTGAAGTGTTCTCAAAAGATTATTTGTAACCACTTTTGCATCTCCTAAGCAGCTAATGGGGTTCGAGTAGAAGAAATAACCTTTCTTTGGGGCGGGGAGAAAGTCTGTTAAAACCACATCTACCTAAATCAAAGATGCTCTTTTGCGTGACCTTCTCACTCTGAAGCATTTGTTTGAGATGCTTCTGGGTTGGGATTTCCACCAAGATGCTGGGTTACAATAGCAATAGTGGGTGATAGAGTGAGAAATGAAATGCCTGGCTCTTTGTTTTATCCAACAGGTGCAGTGCCATACCTACACTGGATACTGCTGGTGTGTGACACCTGATGGGAAGCCTATTAGTGGCTCTTCTGTACAGAACAAAACTCCTGTATGTTCAGGTACTGTGGGAGCGGCTTCAACAAACACTTTTTTGGTAATGGAAGGGGGATGGGGAGAATGTGTCCTGTTCTGAGGGCTTAATCTTTTCAGGTGAGCTGACAGTTTACCCAATTTAAAACTGCAGTTGTGCTTGTATTTCCCTGTTTGCTTGCCTGCATTTGAACCCTGCAAGGAAGCTTGGCCTGTGTCTCCTGTGGCGTTGCATCCTACCATTAGGGTATAGACCCTTCTGCAAGGCTCACTGGGAAAAAAATCACTAAGAAAACAAAGTGCAAACGCAACTAGGTAGCTTATGGTAGCTGAGGCAGAATAGCAGTATTACTGTATACACAAATCAAGAGATTCCCTTAAAAAGATCGGATAATCACAGAATCACAGAATCGTTTAGGTTGGAAGGGACCTCTGGAGATCATCTCGTCCAACCTCCCTGCTCAAGCAGGGTCACCTAGAGCATATTGCCCAGGATCACATCCAGACGGGTTTTGAATATCTCCAGCGAAGGAGACTCCACCACCCCTCTGGGCAACCTGTTCCAATGCTCTGTCACCCTCACAGTGAAGAAGTTTTTTCTCAGGTTCAGATGGAACTTCCTGTGGTTCAGTTTCTGCCCATTGCCTCTTGTCCTGTTGCTGGGCACCACGGAGAAGAGGCTGGCCTCATCCTCTTGACACTCCCCCTTCAGATAACTTTAATCATTTTCTGTGAACTGTATCAAGTAGACCATGAAATCATGTTGCCTTTCTTAGTGACTTCAGGTGAAACTTTGGTAAGGCTGTTCTGTAAGAAACTGGAAGTTGTTAACGGCTACCCCCCAAATTTGGGGTCCTGCTGTTAAAATAGATTTGGGTCTTCTGATTATGCTGCTCAGTTCCAGGATTCCCCTGTTTGTGTCACGGGGCTGGACAGCACTGGACTCGCACCACAGCTCACGTGAGGGAGGTGCAGAGGCAGGCAGGAAGGTTGTGAGTCTATTAGGTCATTGGTTTTGTGGTGTGAGATGCCTTAGTGCTCTGCAGTCTGACACTGCTTTCTGTAGCTCTGTGGTTTACTGAACTGTCAGAGTTGTGCTCAGGTATTCCAAATTCATCCTCTTCTGTAGTTAAAGCAGGCTGATGTTGAGAGTCCTTTTTTCTTCCTCCTTTTTCTCCCTCCCCCCCACCCCCAACAGTTCACCATGGCAGTCCAGGGCCCAAATGGGATGAGGTTATGGGGGATACAGGCTCTAGATTTTCTATATGGCTGTGTTCCCAGTGCAGCTTTTAGCTCTATGACATGCTGTGAGCAGGGCTGCTGTAGCAGTAACACACTAGGCACAAGGAAGGATGGGAGCCTGTTTTAAAAAAAAAGAGAAGGCATGGGAGTGTGTCTCTTAACCCATTCAGAGCTATGCCATGTAGGGACTGCTGCTGCCTCTGGCTTCATGCTTGTAATGTGCACCCCCAGTGTATTTAATGCATTTCTCCTCTCACAACTTGCAGTGTTTGTCCTTTAGATGGGAGTGTGGCTGCAATCCAACTGTTTTTTCTTTTCTTTCTTTAATCCTCTTTGCCTTATTTGGAGAGCTCTTGGCCATAGGTTGTTTCATGCTAATGAGCAAAAATGGTGACCTGAATGAGGGCTCATAAGTTGAGCTGGAGAACTGTCGAGGACCAGTGGGTCAAATACTGTAGCTTCAGGGAACACTAGGTATTTCACTGGTACATGGAAGGAAACTTAAAATCAATATTCTGTTTTTCCATAGGGCAAAATGCTATATTAATTTGCCTTAAGCCTTAAGATATGACTTTTCTACATTGTTCCCTGTGTATAGTTTTGATAGGGCATATTTTTGGGGTGTATTTTCCTGATCTGTTCATTTAATCTTTGAGCCTTTTATAAAACTGTGTTTCCCAGGAAACTACAGTGGTTGGTTAGTTGGTTTGTTTGTTTTGTAGGACGCACAGGTGTTCGACCTATGACTTATTGAAATTGTATATGTGCTTATGTGCTTCCTACTTGTAATTCAGCTGTAGATCTGTGATCAGCTAATCTGCAGGTGAAAGAGCCTATGAAATGGAGTTTTAGGATAGGGTTTGTCTGGACCAGACTATTAGGCCTGGAACTGACTTGATCCACATATCCTGAAGGATCAAGTCATTGTAATTCACTGGCACAGCTTAGTAAGGGTGCAAGGAAGAATCAGTTTCTGGGGAATAAAGCTATTCTGGGGGGGGGGGAAGTTTTGTCATAAATTTTCACACTTCCATAATGGATTTGTTCAAATAGCCTTTATTATCTATTCTGCTTTTAATAAAAAACTGCTCGGTGAAGCCCTGAAGCAAACTGCAGAAACAAATGCAGGCTGTTATAGGTTGTATGAACATTTAAGTGTATATTAAAAAGCAGGAGATATGTCCTATTCAAGTACCTGCTGGATCTTATCCTATGTTACTTTTCAAACAGCTGGGGATGTTCAGGAGTTGATTGAAATACATTTCTGGAAACTGTGTCCCGCTTAATCCTTTTCCTCTAGAATTCTGCCCCTTGCATGGCTTGTACTCACTCTCCTCACCTGGTTTTGATTTGTTCTTCCTGACATTTGCAAATGGAAGAAGTGACTCTTTATCTTTCCTTCTTGCTCTTGAATTTATTCCATGTTCTTTACTAATGCACTGCTCTGAGCTCTTTCAAATCACTGGATCCAGCTATGAAAGATTTCTTGTTTGCCCTGACCCTATCCTTAATGCATAAAATGTCCTTATGCTGTCCTAGTTGGCTGAAGCCACAGGATCTCTGAAGCCTAAAATAAGTTGTTGGCAAGTAGAAAGGACACTTTTTGTGTTGAAATTTTAATTGTGTTCATACAATTGCATGTCTTGTGTGATCATGCAGCGCTTTAAAAGATCTCTTTTTTTTTTCCTTTAGGTTCTGTAACTGATAAACCATCAAGCCAGGGTAACTCAGGAAGGAAAGGTGAGTGGAGTCCTGTGCCCCAAAAAGTTGTTTTGTAATAGCAGTTGCCCAGCCAAGTCCCTTGAGATAGCTTAGAACTTGGGTTTCTAAACAGCTGTGTGTGTGGGAGGCTAACATGCCTCTAGACCTCCCCTATCAGCAGGAGGAAGAACGTGGCAGTCTGTTAATGCATCGCCCTGTGGAGTAGAAAACTATGTATTCTGCTCTGTGCTCAACATCTGATATGACGATATGATATGATTTCATATATGCAGTATATAAAAGCAGAGCCTCCCAAAGGAGTGGCTGATACAAGACCCCTTTGCCTGTTGACCTTGATGTTAACTACTGAGCATTGTTCAGTAAAATCCCTAGAGATTAGGGAGACCAGCAGTATGATTGGTATGTTACTGGGAGTCAGGAGTGCCAATGTCACGGTTGTGGCCTTTGATACAATGAAGCATTGTTGTGTCTATGTGTGTTTTGCATAAAACCCTCTGGCCAGCTGGAGCAGAGTCAAATTAAGCCTGGGTGCTTCTGAAAATCTCACCTTTTTGTGCATTAGGCATTGGTCCTCCTTCATCTTTCACTCCCTTCTTCAATCCTTGCCTTTCCTGAGCAAGGCACTAGATGTGTTGCTCCCTTTTCCAGTATTTATGTATAGCCCTTCCCTTTGTTCTCTGATCTGCATTCGTTGAAGTCTTGGGAGAGGTGACTGCTGGAGTCAGTCATGGATGAGGAGTCAAGTTTGTCTTTAGGCCCTCTCCACATCCTAATTTCTACCATGTCCTCCCCTTTCTCACTCTTCAATGTCAATTGTTCAGTTTGTCTCCTTACTGCAGGAAAACTGTGTTGAGTGCATCCTCACTCCTGCTGGTGAGGGTAAAGGCTATTTCCTGGGAGAAGTTCCTGTTTTGATATCTGAAGCAGGATTTTTACTGTTAACTCTCTAAACCTCCTCATGGCACTTCAAGTGTTCCTGGCACTTCAAAACGCATGAAAACGCCTATCGTGATGCCAGATCTTAATTTGAAAAACATCTTCCATGCTGGGACTGTCAAACCAGTCCTGAAAACACTTAAAAGGAATTGTAGATTGTTGAGCCCAGGGCAGTGCTGTATTTTGAACATATTTCCATGTCTGCTCTCCAGTCAATTGTTTGTGTGTGGTAGCTTAGGAAAAGATAGGGTGAAGAAAGATGCAAGGAAAAATACTCAGTTAAAACTGAACACTGAAGCCTGTTTCTCCTTTTAGATAAGGACACGTCTCTGTAAACATGTAATTATATGTTAAACCTGACAACCTATATAATTGGCACCTGAATGCATCATTATCATTCTGTTAATACAATCCTTGTAGTCTAGCCTGAAGTACAGGCAAATCAAGTAGCTCATACAATCTGCGTTATTTTTGAGTGGGGGCTGTTTGCAGGCTTCCTACCTGAGCTGTCCTGGTCTGTTCTGCTGGAATGAAAAGCAGCTGACACTGAATTCCATAAGGAACAGGAGCAAAGGGTAGAGTGTGTGAGCTTGGTCTTTCCACTTTACTACTTTTAACTAAGAATTTGGGACATACAGAAACAGAGAACTGTAAATGGATGGAATTAGTTTAAAATTTGTGATATAAACTGACTCTCCTTGGTGTTGCCTCTGGCATCCTGTTTTGAGAATGGTGTGCTTGGCCACATGGCCACAGAAACATTGTATGCAGTAGCTGTCAGCAAAAGGAAAATATTTCCCTTTGGGCTAGCATGCTTCAAGCAAATCATGTAAACATTCCATCCTCTCTAATTTTGCCTCTGTTCCTGTCTGTTGGAAGCCTCCACACAAGCCACTTCAGCCTTTCTCCATCAGGTTGGAAAAAATCTGCGCGAGTGATTATGACATAGTCTGCACAGGTCTAAATGCCTTTTAAAATAGAGAGTGTTTTTACAAGCTGAAATAAAATTTAGTTTAAAGTTTGAGGAAGCTAACATTACTTCTTAAGCTGCTGATGAATGCCTAATATAAAAATGAATTTGACTTCCTTATCGGTGCTTTTTATTGACTTACATTCCCTTGATTCAAAACTCCAGTATTATGTCAGCCAGCCTGGCTTCCTTGAAGGATTTCTTTTTGGAGGTCTGGCTTCTATGAAGGCTGGTGGCTAGACAGTGTGGCTATAACTGTCCATTCTAGCTGAGTGTACAGGCTCTTTCTGCAAAGATTACCCTTTGCAAGAAGACAAAAAAAGGTGGGAAGAGAAGGGATCCAGCAGGAACTGTGTCAGTGATTACCTTATTGTTGTAGAGGCATATTTTGGAAACTTCTGTTATCACTTTGGACAGCTGCCATCTGACTTAGGAGCTTTTGGACTTTTCCCTGTACAGCAGGCTCCTCTTTCCACCCTTGGATGAGCATCTCTGGGACGAGTAGCATCATCTGGCACAGAACAAGCTCTCTCAGGAGGAAAAGCAATAGCTAAGGGTCTCAAAAGTGATTTCCTTTGGCACATTTGTACAGGATGTAAAACACGGAGCTAATACACTGTGCAATGTTGGTGCTTTTCAAGTCTTCAGGGCAAAACAGTTCTTTGGACAGAGGCTGCTGTGCCTAGGAAGCAGTACAGTTGGGTAGGCTTAAGCTATTATATAAGAAATGAAAGGAAAGATGTTGCTAGCATATCTCCCACAACAGAGACAAATTAGTGTTGGAAGGAGAAAAGGGCTGGTTGTCAGTAATAGCTGCCTTTCTCCAAATGTGTAGCCTCTGTTCCATCCTGTGTAGGCCCAGTTTCTGGAGGTCAGTGGTTATGGTCTCTAGACAGTGTGAAGTAACATGCACTTCCCTTTCATAGGCTCTCTCGCTACTGATGAAAAGAAAATGAAATGGTTTTTTCGGTCATGTGGCTTGGCATGTAGTTCCAGAAGTGGCTCTGTGAAACCTTCTGCAGAGAACAGGCAAGAGTGCTGGCAAGAAATCCTTTTTATTTTTAAATCCTGTGCTCTGGTTGTCCAGAGCTCTGCTGCTATTACCATAAGATACAATGCCAGCTGCTCGTACAGTTTGCCCTATAAGGAAAATTTAAATCAAATCAAATTGGCACGAAACTTAAAACTTGAAAATAGCAAGTATTGATTTATTCTGTGCCTCAGAAGTGCTCCACTGTTGGAATGCAGAGTGGACTTGCGCCTGGAAAGGAGGAGGCGCGTTCTTACGTGGTAGAATGGAAACCCAGGTTGTCCATTACATACTTGGTGCATGAACTTGTAGTTCAGACATTTACCACTGCTCCTCTTATACTGAATTCAGCCTCGCTGAAGTTTGTTTAAACTAAGCATTTGTAGGTTGATCCCTCTTGTCCCTGATTCTATTAGGCTTGAGGGAGTAGGGTGGATGAGTATGGAAAAGTGAGACCACTCCAGTGCTGCTAGTACTGAAGGATGTATTTGAAATTCTGCCCTGTACTGGCAGATCCAAAAAAGCTAGCTGATGGTAAGCTAATTATTAAAATTTCATTGTCACTTTTTTTTTCCGTGGGTGAAAGCTGATTCAAAATCCTTTGGACCTTCTGCTCTTTACTTGATACTCTTAAAAGAATTCTGGTCTAGATCTGTTGTGCTACATCCTTTGCTAAGAAATCCCTGTTGCTTTGATTTTGCCTATTCAGTATTCAGATGTCTGTGCCAGCCCATTTGTTTCCTGAAAAGTGGCTGACTCTACCTCTTCAGTCAAATTAGTTTGGCATTGGCATTCTGTTTGCTTCTCATATTGGAATAAAGGAGATGAATTCAGATGTGGTAGCAGTGGAGTCTGACCATATATGGCCTCTTACCCTTTTCATCTCCAAGATTTTGTGCCCTAATGAAAAACACATCAATGCCAAACATATATCCCAAGCTGCAGTTTGTCAGATAGAGGAACTGAAGTTTGATAAGGTCTTTATCCTTCCCATGTCATTGCCCTCTCCTCCCCTTTAGAGCAGGCTCAAACTCTGTACTTTTCCCCTTTCTTGCATGATGCCCATCACCAAGCTGTAGTAAGGGCTAGGTTTTCCAAAGGTCTCAGTCCATACCTTAGCAAGGTGGGGAGTGACGAGGGAATATTGCCTATTTTCCCCTCCCACCTTCTCAAGCTACAGTATCTGTGCCACTGTATTAATTCCTGTTGGGCTGACCTTGAAGTTTGCAGGCACCGTGCATCACTGTTCTGAAGCAGGTGGAGGCTCAGGCAGAATGCATCATCATGCAGGCTCTTTCCTGCTCTACAAGCTTCAGGAAGAAGACCTGCTTGCAGCAGGTGTTGGCCTCTATGTGGTAACTTGATGAGGGGGTAGGAGGACAAGGAAGGTGAAAGCCTTTTTGGTAAGCCTATGACGATCCAAGGCATCCTAATGCTACTAGCGGTGCTTGGACCCTGCCTTTCCCCAGCACTCTGTGTCCTGGCATCTTCATCCTAAGAGTGCTGCCCAACTTGGGAGCACAGTGGTGCAGAACGGCAGCTTATTGACTGTTGCTAAACAGCCAGTCAGCAGGCGATGCCTGCCAGCCAGCTGAGCAACTCTTCATACTGATGATGTTCTGTGCAGCTAGCCTCGTGATGCAGATGGGCCGCTCAGCTAATTGCTGTGCTAAATGAGAATAGTGAAACACTGAACAAATGACTTTACTTGGGTGCTATGTTAAGTTATTGTACTCTAAACCCTTTCTGTTAAATTGGTTGGTTTCCCCTTCAAGGAGGGCTGAGTAATCCTTTAAGTGAAAATGAGGAAGAGCACTCATTATCTAGGAGATAAGGTAGCTCAGCTAGGCTAGCACACACCTCTCCTTCTTCAGGCTACTGCAAAACAAGTTCCCAGGACCTTTTTCAGAGAATACAGTTGTTGTTGGGGGGGATTAGGATATGCATAACCTGCAGATTTCTGTTGCTATTTATTCCTTATTTCTGCTTGTGCCTTGTACAATTCTGTCTCATAAGGAGGTTCTTGTGCTAATTTGCTCCAGCTGTTGCTTAGTTTGAAAAGCCTGAGAGACTTGGAAGATG